GTTTTTAAGTGACAGACTTCCCTTAGTTTTTGAAGCAGCACATGAAAAAAGCCTAGAAATCAATTTAGTGTGAACCCTGTAAGAGAGTGGACGAGCAAGCTCTGCATACAACAGGTTTCTCACTCATCCTGAGCACAGAAAACAGGAGCTGCCACGACAGCACCATAAGCATATTCCACCCGAGAGACGTGGAGCAGCCAGAAATGTGAACCACACAAAGGCCTGTGGATTGCTGCTGGCTCCCCTCCAGCACACTCCCGTCAAGCGTGGGCTCGCTCCGGTGCTGCCGTGGATTTGCAGAGCACTACATGTGTACAAGGCATAGACCTGTTAAAAAAACAACCCAGCAGATGTTCAGTGCTTCTAAGTTGCCTGCTGGCACCATGTGCAGTGTCTTTCTAGTCTCTATTCCTCGGAGTCTGGAGCAAGACAAGCTAGATTACATGAAATCCAGTGTCTCGGGTGTCTTTAGATATGCTGTAAGAGGCAAGGACAGAGGAACAGCTACAATAAGTAGGATGAATAGAACAAATCCTCTTACACGTTTAAAACTATTATTTGAAAACGACAAACTGCATTCATGCCCAGGCTTGCATTATTTAAACAGCAAGAGAAAGAGCTGGCCCGAGTTTCCTGCCTCGCTTTTCTTTAAGGCAAGATGCAAACCCACACCTAGAGACAGGGTCTCTGCAGGGCTCCTGTGGCTTCTGAAACATCTCTTTCCTCATGCCCACCTCAGTGCTTTGCTCAGTTAATAAACTGAGATAATACTGTACCCAGGAGAACCCCACATCAGCCCCAAAGTATGCACCAAATATTCAGTACCTGAACACTTAAAACATATTAAGTTACTTAAGTTACAGGCACACCGCTCCGATCCCTCCCAGGCATAAAGAGGACTTGAAAATCATGGTAATTTTCTTTGTGTGAGTAGCAAGGTGAACTTTGCTTTCAATTTCAGCATTTAAAAGAAGGCAAATATCAGATTCCCTGTAACTTGGGAGGAGTGTGTTTGAGTGTTCATTAAGTTAAATCACATTCCACACAAAAAAAAATACCGAGATAATATTGTTTCCAACATTTACACCCAACATTTACCAAGCTATCTCTATAAGAATTAGATAAAACAATTAATTCTTGGCCAAAATCCAATTATGACTAATTTTTTTCAGGGGCCCCCAGCTTGGCAAAGAGCTTGGCAATAACCCAGTGCATGTTTCTGAAAGATGTGACTGCAGAATCTAAAGGTCTAATTATGTCTCCAGTGGTATATTCTCAGATAATCCTCAAGGTAATAATAAGAAATGAGCAGGTTGGCTGTAGTAAGTCTGCAGAAATCATTGGGTCAGGGTCCATATGAGTGATGGGCATGTTCACAACCCAAGTTCTTCTAGATAGGACATTGGTGTTAGTAACTGCTTTTTGAAAGAAATTTGTGCCCTGGATAGAGCATTTTGAAAATGTATGTTTGGAAACAGTAAACAGAGAGTGCTATTCAGCACAGTCACAACATGGAAAGAGTTTACCTGAATTAGGGCCTAAGTACAGAGAACTGAGTATATGATTCCCCTCCCCCAAGCTGAACATCCAGATGGAGATGCCAACATCTTTATCTCAGCTGGACTGGGGAATCGGTGTTTCATGCCTTTTCCCAACTGCTTTAAAATAGGTATGGCTGAGACAGTGGCCTGGATTACAGAAATGGGTGGGTTTGTATATCACTTGAGGGCTGAACTGGTTTGCACATGGCAATTCAGGGGAAAAATCAAAGTGGGGGCACTGGTTGTACTCCACTCCTCTGTGCCCGATGAGGGATTAGAGAACGCACTCCCCCAGCTACAGCCACGCAGGCACATCTTTTCACTCCCATCACCTGCACTCTCTGACCACTCCCCATTTCTCATCCTCTTGCCCTGTCATCTCCTTTCTTATGCCTTTGCCATAAATTTTCTTCTCTCTTTTTTTTTTTTTTTTTTTTTTTTTTTTTTTTTTTTTTTTTTTTTTTTTTTTTTTTTTTTTTTTTTTGTTGTGGTTTCTCTGAGGCATTACACCGTGAAATCCCCATCCCAAAGTGCAGCCCTTGGCAGCATCACAAGGCACCACTGGTGTTACTGGGAGACCCTCCTACCCCTAAACAGGCTGCAGCAGAAGACAAGGAGACACTTGTAGGTGCTTTCTGGTTTTATTAACAGCCCCACAGCCAGGTTCCCAAACCCACGGTGAGAGTGCTGGGGCACAGGGTAGGGTCACACTATCCAACCTGCTGTTCCTGGAGTGGGTCACTTGGAGAAGCCCTGGGTGTCACAGCGGGGTCCCTGCCACTCGTCGTAGCACTGGCAGCTGAACTCCTTTTCCAGCTGGGAGACATCACCAGACTCCAGGCTCTGAGACACCAGCCACGGCTTGCCAGCATGCAGGTCGATGGTGAAGCGGAAGGGGTCGAGGTGGAGGAAGCCCTGCTTGTTCTCCTGGCGCACACAGCGCCCGTGGCTGGAGCACAGGCTCTGGCTGCACAGATCAGCGCTGGCTGTCACATTGACGATGTAGTGGCCCAGGGGCCCCTCCACGTAGTCCTTCAGTCTCAGGCACATCTCCTGCAATGGCATGGGATGTCACAGCCCTGCACAGCTGAGGAACTGGGGGTCCCTGATGGCAGGGACGTGGTGCCACCCTCTGCACTCACCTTGGAGGCGCTGTAGTTGAGGTTGCCCCAGAGGATGATGCCAGCAGCACCTTGAGCTGCGCTCTCCCCAATGGTGTTCATCAGGTCCTCCTGCACCCAAGGGGAGAGGAGAAGTCAGCAGTGTCCAACGCCCCTGCATAGCCCCAGCAGAGCTAAAGATTCCCAGTGCCAACCCATCAGCCCAAGAGGTGTCCAGTATCCCCACATCCCCATCACCTGGGAAAGGAAGTCAACACTGAGCTCGAAGGCAATCTGGGAGTAGGGCAGGACAGGAATGCCGCTCTCAAGGACGCCACGCTGGACGGCGAACGCCTCAGCCACGCGGTGCCGGACGTAGGGGAGCACCTTGTCGGTGCCATTGAGGGAGAGGGGCAGGTAGATACTGGGATAGAGTGCCCGGCTGCTCTTCCAGAGCCAGGACAGATTCCTGTTCCTCTGCTGCTCCACCTCTGGGCATGTCCCATTGTAGGGCAGGCTGTCAAACTCATTGTTGTAGCAGTCGGGGAAACCATAGAAACCCCAGTAGGCATCAGAACGGAGGCTCTCACCCAGCCACAGGGTCTTGTTCATGAAATTGCAGGTGCTCTCCTCAAACTGCTGCTTGGCCACCTCCTCCACCTCCTCGGGGGGCCACTGCGGGTGCTGCTGCTGCACCAGCTCCTCCGACTTCTCCTGGTAGATCTTCATGGAGTCCCAGTTGCGGCTCCACAGCGGGCGCCACTTCTCCCAGTCGATGACAGCCAGCCCACTGTAGGCAGGGCTGGGCATGGTCACCTTGATGTCCTGGGTGGCCTGCTGGAGGTGAGCCTCCAGGCTGGCATTTTGGGGGAGCCCCCCATTCACTGGCACCCCCTCAGATGTGTAGTAGGGGAGGAGACCCAGCTTGTCGCTGTAGAAGAGGGTGATGTCCTGCCCGATGAAGGACTGCTGGTCGTTGGCCAACACATCGAAGACCTCCAGGCTGAGGGTAACATTGTACTTCTCGGCACAGTGTTCCGTGGGGATGTTCCAGATGGTGACGAAAGGGCGGTTGATGAGGACAGGGCCAGGTCCCCCAGTGTGGGCCAGGGCAGGCAGGAGCAGCAGGAGGACCCAGCAGGACCACACCAATGCCATGGTGCTGGTGGGATCAGGGTGGATCCTGGAGCTGCCTGGGGAGAGCCGGGACCTAGGAAGATGTTGCTTTTATCCCCAAGCTGGGACTGATGTTAATCCACTCCTCTGTTCTCAAGCGGAGCCAGTCACCCAGGGTTACCTGTCCCTCCTCCTCAAAGTCCCCGAAGTTATCAGCAGCTCGAGCCCAGCACAGCGGCCCCAGAGTGGGGACAGCAGCGTGTGTCAGCCCCTTTTAATGACCGGCGGCGGCGGGCTCGGCTGGGAAGGAATGCGCAGAGTCAACACCCCATGACTGGCCGGTGATGAGTGGGCTGGAAAGACAAACAGACATGGACGCGGAGGGGGGGTGGTGGGGAGGAAGGAAGGTCACGGTGATGGACGTGGGCTGAGCCTGGCGGGCGCCGCTGGGGAAGCGGAGAGCGACGGCCATGAGCTGGCAGGAGGAGGGCACTGTTGGAAAAAAAGCTCACAGCATCGAGCAGGACCCGGCAGGACAGAGCCCGACGTGGCGCAGGAGGGCACGGCCCGGGGACACTCACAGCACAGGGCAGCAGCCACAGGAGGGCACGGCCCGGGGAGAGGCACAGCAGCCCAGGGGTGCGGGCAGGAAGGCGGTTGTGCCACGCGGGGCCAGGCCGTGCCCACGGGCACTGCAAAGAACAGAGCAGTGCCCGGAGGGGCTGCACAGGCAGAGACAGAGCAGGGCTGCGCTGTGGCACGGGGACACAGGAGCCACGCGAGGGCACCGCTGGGGGACACTCAGCTGGCACGGGACAGCGGAGCTCAGCACAGGGGTGTCCCCACGAGGATCCCGGTCCCCCGACGCGTTCCCGTCGCGCAGCCGCCACAGTGCCCGTGCCCAGGGGGCTTGTCCCGGGATTGAGGGCGTGGCCAGGCGGGGAATCCCGGAGCGGAGCCGGGGCTACGGAGAGCAGGGGGAGGAGCCCGAGCGGGGCGTGGCTAGCGCGGCTCCACGTGGGTGGCCCGACCGTGGCTACCCACGCCGCTCCATGCCGGGAGCTCCCACCCTCAGAACGCCTTCCCCGAGCGGCTCTGGCCCCACGGGGAGAGATCCCACCCCTGCTGGGCCTCTCCCGAGCTTCACACCCACCGCCCAGCACTCTCACCCCACAGTGGCAATGTCTGGGAGCTGGGTGACCCGTGGCCTTCCCCTCCGCCCCAAATCAGCCCACACCTCTCCCTCGGACCAGCTTTATTCGAGGTAAAGCACTTGAGAGTGGGGCAGCACACAGGGGCTCAGCACCACACAGAACCCACTCCCCGCCCCCATGTCCCACTTGCCCCCATCCCTCTCCTTACAACAGGAGAGGGGTCCCCCTCCTCCCTCCATCCCCATTGCAGCAGGGAGGGCAGAGATGGGGCAAAACAGCTCTCCCCTCACAGTGAAGGGCAGCCCCCCATAACAAGCTGCCTCCCAGGCAGGGTAGTGATAATCTTAAATAGGCCCCTACACCACAGAAAGGGGCAGCTCAGTCCAGCGGGGGTCAGCACCAGCTTGCAAGCAGCAACAGCACCCCAAGTCCTAGTGGTGCCATGAGCCCAGGGGAACCATTGCCAAGGCCAGTGGGTGTCTGACAGCTACTGCCCTGCCAGCCCTGGTAGCAGTGGCAGTGAAAGTGGGTCCGTAGGAAGAGGATATCAGCAGGGGACAGCTGGCCCTCGACCCAGAAGAGGGGGTGCTTGGGGTGGTCTGCATCCCGGCGCCGCAGCTGGAAGTTGGTGGAGTTGAGGTGGAGGAAGACGTCGGCGGTGCTGTTCTGGCGCAGGCAGCGCCCCTGGCCCTGGCACAGTGTTTTGCTGCAGAGCTCTGCTGCTGTTGAGACATTCACGACGTAGCGCCCCAGGTCCCCCTCCAGGTAGTTCTTCAAAGTCTGACACAACTCCTAGGGGAAAGGGAGCACCAGGGGCATGTTGGTGTGACACAGGGAGAGAAGCATCTCAGACAGAGAGGACAGCTCAGCCACTGGTCCTCCCCCTCTGGGGGCAGGTGAGCCTTTCACCCATCATCCACCTCCCATGCAGACCTACCCGGTTTTTGGCGTCATCCGCCTCACCCCAGAAAATGGCTCCAGCTGCACCCAGTGCTGCGCTCTCTCCGACGGTGGAGATCAGGTCCAGCTGTGGGGACAGAGCCTGGTTAGTGCCCACAGACCCCACACAGCACCCACACTCCCAGCACAGTGTGCTCCAAAGTGTCCACTGCAGGGCTGGGGAGACAAGGTCCACCCCTGCTTTGAGCCACAGGGAGAGGGGACTGTCCCAGATCCTGGGGGACAAGACTTCCCAACACTGCCCTCCTCATCAGGGGTTAAGCCAGCACAGGACAGGGGCTGTGGGCTCACATACCCCAGGGTCCTGGCTGCCAGGACCTATCAGTCTTGCAGTACCTCCCAGGCACTTCCCTGGCAGTGGTGACCACTGGTGCCAGTTCTGCTGACAGACACCCCATACCTAAGGGAAGCAGTTTGTGGCATCCTATCATCCAGTCACAAGGGGGCTGAGCTGGGGGGGTGGGTCTCCCATGCTGACACCCCTTGAAGGGAAGGAAGCAGGGCTGAGCACCCCTTGGGTTCCCTGGGACCAGCCCCATGCCAAAGGGTGCTGCTCCCCACCCCACACAGAGACAGCCACAGCAGTACCATGAGGGCAGACACCAGTCACCAGAGCCACTCTGCTCCAGGGGAGCAAGATGGATCACTGGCAGCAGAACCACCTCAGCTGACCCCAAAGTCCAGATGCCTAGGGCTTGGGATAAGGATGTCCCTGTAGTGCAGCCCTACCTGGCTGAGCACATTCAGCTTGCGGATGAAGGTGGGCCGGGTGTAGACAAAGACAGGCAGGGAGTAGTTGTCATGGTGCTGCTGGGAGATGCGTATGGCCTCCATCACCCGTGCCCGCACAAACTTGCGGATGTTGGGAGTGGAGTCCAGGAGCGGGTCGAGGTAGATGGAGGGGTAGAGCGCCGTGCTCTCCTTCCAGAGCCACACCAGCTGGTCATTGCGGGTCTTCTCGACGTCCGGGCATTGCCCAGTGTAGCTTTCCTTGTTCTTGCTGTAGTCATGGTTGTAGCAATCAGGGAACAGGTAGAACCCCCAGAGCTGCTTCGGTCGGATGCTCTTGGCCTTGCGCAGGGTCCTCACCATGAACTCCTGGGCAGCTGACTCAAACTCGAACACTGCCTGCTTGTTCACCATCTCACGGGTCCAGTTTCGGTTACGCTCGAACACCAGACTCTGTGACACCTCCCGGTAGATGTCCTTGGGCTTCCAGTTGCGAGCCCAGACAGGCCGCCACTCTTCCCAGTCAATGACGGCCAGCCCTTCCCTGGTGGGCGACTGGATGTACTTGGTGATGCCGTCCTCAAGGCGGTCCAGGTGCTCCAACAGGTTGCTGTTTTGGGGGACACCACCATTGACGGGCACACCCTGGCGAGTGTAGTAGGGGTAGAGTCCCAGGCGCTCCTTGTAGAAGATGGTGAGGTCCTGCCGCACAAAGCCTTCATTGGGGGAGGCGTCCAGATCGAAGATGCTGAAGTCAAACTCCACCTGGAAGCGGGGCTTGCAGTCCTGGGTGGGCACGTTCCAGGCCACCAGGAAGGGGCGGCGGGTGACATGGGGGGAGGCCGACGGCTTCTCGGGAGGCTGCCGGGCCAGGGCCAGCAGGGCCAGCCAGGGCACCACCGCCGCCACCGCGCAGCCCCCGCGCATCCTGCCCGGCGGAGCCTGGGGGCGGCGGGAGACGGGGGGTCAGGAGCGGGGCAGGCAGGCGGGGGTGCAGGCAGGGGCGGGTCTGCCCGCACCCCCCAAGGCAGACCCCGACCCAAGGCCCCTCCCGCGGCAGAGAGGTGAGCTGAGCCCCCCGGGGGGGTGCTGGCTCCCAGGAATCCCGGTTCCAAGCGGCTTCGCTCGCTCCGTCTCCCGTTCCCGCTTCCCGGCGCTCCCGCGGGTGCCGGCGCGGTGCCGCCTTTGTTCGCGGCCGGCAGACAAAGCGCCGGGGCGCGGCCCCCCGCGGCCCCGCTCGCTCCCCGCGCGGCTCTCACCGCGCCTCAGGCCATTCCCCGCCGCGGGCTCCAGCGCCGCCGCCTCCCCCCGCCGCCGCTTTTAAACCTCCCGGCGCGCACCACCCGCGGGGGCGCCGCCCCCCACTCGCCCGGCCCCGCCCCTGCGCCCCTCCCGCGCCGCGCCGCGCCGGGCTGGCGGCGTCGACTGCCGCGGGGCCCCGGGGGCCGCGGGCCGGCGGCGGAGCTCCGCCGCACACACACACCTCGGCGGGACCGCCGCACCGGGCAACCGGAGACACCCCCCCCCGGTCCCGACGCGCTTGGTATGGCCCGGGAGGACCCGCCCCCCCACGCGACGGAAGGGGGCGGGGCGGGGCTGCGGCGGGGGCCGGTAGGGGGCGCTGCGGGGCGCGGGGCGGGCGCGAGGGGATCCCAAAACCCGGGTCTGTGGAGACCCCGAAACCCCAAAACAGAGGTGAACCCGGGTCTGTAGTGACCCCAGAACAGCGATGACCCCAGGACTGTGGCACCCCTAGCATTGTGTCCCCAGGGTGGTGGTAACCTCGGAATCATTGTCACTCCAAAACGGTGGTGACCCCAGAACGTTGGTAACACCAGGACTGTGGTGGTCCCACGGTGGTGATGACCGCAGGATCATGGTGTCCCCAAAACAGTGGTGACCCCAGAACGGTGGTGACCTCAGGGTGGTGGTGTTCCCAGGATCAACATCACCCCAAAACACTGACTCCAGAATGGTGGTGACACCAGGATGCTGTAGCGGGATCATGTCCCCAAAATGGTGGTGATCTTAGGATGGTGGTGACTCCAAAGTGATAGCAACCTCAGAATGCTGGTGTCCCCAAGGCAGTGGTGATCTCGGAATAGCGGTGTCCCCACAACAGTGGTGTCCCCACAACAGTGGTTTCCCCAGAGCAGTGGTGTGCCCACAACAGCAGTGTCCCCAGGACAGTGGTGACCCCGGGGCGGTGCCGTGCCGGACAGGACATCCTGTTCAGGGCTGGGGCAATCGGTGCTGCTGACTCAGCCACGACCCCGTGGGTTTCCTGCCCAGAGGGGACAAAGGAGGCCATGGAAGCAGCAGAGCTGGGGGACCTTCCTTCCCAGGACACTGCTGAGGCTCCAGAAGGTCCCCCCAGATGGGCAGCGGGACAGGCAGGGCTCGGGGACCAGCCATGTGGCAATCCCTGTGTCCTGCCTGTCCTCTGCCTGCTCTGGCCAGGGCTGGCCCCGGCAGGCTGGGGGCCATCGGGGTGCCCCGCAGAGGAAGCACTGGAGAGCGAGGGTGTGCCGGGGCTGAGGGGGGAAGGAAGCGGGGCTGAATCTACGGAAACATTCCCCAGCCGCCCGCCAGCTCCTCAGGGATCGGGCGGGAGCACCAAGCTCAGCATTGTTCGGTGTCAGCCCCTGGTGCCGCCACTGCCGAGCCCTGTCCGCAGGCACCCGCAGATGGCTCCAGTTAGTGACACCACTCGGGTGCCAGCTTTTGTGGTGAAGCTCCCACCGAGAGGGTGACAGTACTGCCAGGGATGGGCACTGCGTCCAGGCCGGCCACTCCGAGTCCAGGCTGTATGCCATAGCTCGGCCCAGCCTGTGGGCAACACCAGGCACTGGCTGGGAGAGGGGCAGGGAAGGTCGGCCGCTGCCCGTTGGCTGCCAAAACACTTGGGAGAGATTGTGGGGAGCCAAGCAGTCCCAGCGCTGCAGGCGCTGCCCTTCCCCTCTGGGCAGTAAACAGGCTCCCTTCGCCAGCAGCAGAAACGCCTAAAATTTTCCATCCTCCTCGTGCGAAGGTACCCAGCCCCCCCGGCAGAGGGGTGGACAGAGGGTCACAGCTTTCCACTGCTGGAAGTCCTCAATGTGACGCAGTTTCTCACTGTTGTCCCCTGACTGGGGCTCCACACTGCCTGATTCGGTTTCCCTCCTTGCTTCCAGAAGACTCTAGATTTTGGGAGGGGGCAGCTGGACAGATCCACCCTGCTGAGCATGAGATCATTTTAAGTCATTCGCAGATGGGCGCAAGAGAGGAGAAGGGTGCAGGGCGGCAGCGGTGGGCAGTGCCCAGGGTGAGCCGAGCAGGTGAGCTGTTCCTTGCAGGCAGCAGGGAGGATGGGAATCCCTCCCTCATGGGAGCAAAGATAACGGGGCGTGAGTCACATCCGCTTGTGCCAGACAGGTCCGGGCAAGGTGCATAAGGAGCTCAGCTTGGGGATGGGGCAGCCAGGAAGCCAGGAGGAGATGCCGGCACCTGCCTCTACCCTTGGGCTGGGGGCTCCAGGCATGGCCCTGCCCCACGGGCAGCAGGAGGGCACTGGGCTGGCCCCAGCAGACATAGAGATGCTCACAGAACCAGAGATCCACAGCCACTGCCCCGAGAAACCTCACCGAGCCATAACACCCTGCACAGCCACCATGATCCATCACACCCTTCAAAGCCACCATGATCCATCCATCTCTCCTGGACTGCTATGGATCAACAGGCTAAAGTTGCGCAGCCTCACCCCCCGCCAGCCGGAGCGCTGGCAGGACAAATGACCACTCACTCATTGCAGCTCTCGTCAGCGGCTCATTTCCGAGCCGGCTTGTGCAGAGGAAATGATGAGAGGTGACGGTGGCCACAGGAAAACATTTGTGGGGCTGTCAGGGACAGGACATGGGGTACAAAGTGAGATCACACTCATCCCACGGACAGCCGGCAGCGCTCGGAGGACGGGAGGCTTCCCAGCACAGGGCCTGGAAGTCGTCAGGCCCCCGTGATTAATGAGACACTGATTTGGCAGGACAGGCGAGGAAGGAGCGGACAGGCGGATCCTACACCCCCCCGCGAGGCTCAGGCAGTGCCACGGCAAGAGTAGCCTGAGGCTGGGCTGCCTTCAAACCTCCAGACCTCCCTCCCCATACTGGAGGAGAGAGGGTCCTGAGCTCCAACCCTCGGGGCTGAACAAGGAAATTACACAGATTAGACTTTGTTATATATTTAAAGGATGTTATGGCAGCTACAAGTAAAGTCACAGCCTGACAAAGCCACCAACTCCTGCCAGTGCCATGTGCCAACTGGAGCACCTGGAAATGGCTGTGACCCACGGGTCCTTCACCACCAGTTCAGCCACATATGCAAAAACATCCCCCTCCTACAAAAACAGGGGGCTCGAAATGCTGGTGGCAAAACCCTACTCTCCTTGGGCACAGCCTCCCTCCCCAGTAAGGCAGCTCTTGGACTTGCAGGCTCTACAAATAATTTTATTGAAATTTAACAAAAGTGGACAGATGCACTGGGAGGAAGGACCGTAAATAGTGTACATTTCCCAAACCCATGGGTCCTACCCACACGCTAGAGGAGCAAGGAGCCTAGTGTCAGTGAGTACGGCTACACATCCACACGGGAAAGCACAACATCGCACAGAAATCATTAAAAAAAAAAAAAGAATCAAAAGGAAAACTTTCCTTTTTTTTTTTTTTTTTTTGCTTGCTCCAACACCACAGTGGACACAAATACTATTTACAGTGACCTTCACATTTTTAAGACCCCTCCAGGTGCTCCCAAGGCCCTGCTGCTGCAGGAAGGCTGGAGGGGGCCTGGGGGCTGGCTGCTGTGGGGACCAGCCTGGGAAGAAACGGGGCAGGATGCAGCTTGTTGGCAGCCTGCAGAGGTTCGCTGCCACTCCCATGACACTAGAGGGGTATAGGGGTGGGAGAAGGCGTGTTTTTTCGGGGAAGCATGTTTAATGCCCTGGGGGAAGGGTAGGCAGCCTGTCAGGAAGGACAAAAGCATCCTTGCTAAGCCAGTCTTAGTCTCTGCCCCCTCCCCTGGTGTTCAACCCTGCCTTCCCAGCAGATTTTCGGCTGACAGCCCTGTGAGGGGCTCCCCACTGGGACAGGCAAACAGCACTGACCCCCTCCCCAATCCTCTTTCGTCTTCCCCAGTACCCACAGTGGGTTAAGTGCAGCTTCCTGTGCCCTCAGAGAGCAGTGGGACACAGACGGCACAGACAGTGCGACCGTGGTTTTCTCTCCTCTTTCTGGGGACAGCAGCTCCTGCTCTCCTGCAGAGCCTGAGGGGATGCCCTGCCCAGGGAGCTCCAGCCTGGGAGAAACTCAGGAGCAGGTGGTGTGAATAAGAAACACTTCAGTGGGGGATTGTTTTAAGACAAGACTCTTTCAAGCAAGCAGAACAAAAGATGTCGAGAGAAGTGCCCAGCATCACAGTGTACATGAGCCCTGCCCTCCCACTTTCCAGCTTGGTGGCAGCCAGCACATCCACTTCACCCTGCGTGCTCGCTCCTGCCGATGGGAACAGCGGGTGGAGGGACGTGAAGGGAAGAGGTGGTGACAGGAAGACGGCAACAGCCACGCCGCTGTTATCTCCCCGAAGCCGGGAATGTGGCCCCGCGCCCGGGCGGCTCTCAACGGACGCGGCGATGGATACATCCAACGTAGACAGTGACGGGGCTGGCAGCCAAGTGCCAGCAGCTTAAATTAAAAATCGAGGTAGCAAACGTCTGAAGTGCTTAGAAAGTAAATAAGTTCTGGGACGAAAGAGGAGGAAAGCCGAGCCGGCTGCTGTGGGGAGCAGGCTCTGACCCACTTTAAAGCTGTGCCTGCTGCCGGTCCTCCTCTGCCTGCCCGGTCCAGGCATAGCCAAGCAGGGAGGAGGGGCTCCTTGTGCTGGCAAGGGGCATTTGGGGTCAGGCCTTTCCCCCAGCACCTGGCAACACACAGGAGTGAGAGCTTTTTCGGTGCCACCAAGACCTCGTGCAGGAGGGAAGAGAGAAGAGCAGAACCTTCCAAGGCGGGGTAGAAATTCCCCCTTTAAAGTGCATTGCGCTTCCCCTCTGCCGCCAGCTGGGATGGGGAGGAACCACAGTTCACATCGCCAGGGAGATTTCCAAGCTGGGGCAGGTACACCAATTGATTGTTTCGGGGGACAGGAAAGGAAGAGAGAGGATTCCTTTCCTGCTTGGCTCAGTCAAGGTCCACCCTCCAGGGAGGTAAGTTCAAACAGCAGCGGGGGGCGAGGACACTGCCTGGCAGCCTGGCCCTGCAGCGGGTGAGGGACGGTGCTCAGCAGGAGCCAGCGTGCCAATGGGGGAGGCAAGTCTGCTGCAGAGCTGGGACCCTGCTGCCACCAGCAGTGGCTATGGACTGCAGAGATCTCCAGCAGGCAGCAGCAAAGCTAACCTTCCCAGAGCCAGCATAAGCAGGGAAACTTACAGGGGAAAGAGACTGAGGTCCAGGAGAGAGGCATCTGATCTCCATCCCCTTCCCAAGAGGAATGCAACAGCCAGCCAGATGTGCTTCAAGACCCCTCAGCCTGCCCTGTTCATCCTCCATCAACGGACCCATCCAGGGGAGCATCACCTCACACCCACGTCAAGGGACACACTGCAACACTGGCCATCTAACCTGCGGGCCCCAGAGGCCTCGGGCAGCGGGTCACCGTGCCCTGGCCCTCCCTGGGCCGCATACCTGAGAAGCAGGGGGTTCTCTACGGTGAGAAGTGTGGGCTCGCTCTCCTTTTAACAGCTCACACACAGCAGCTCGTTTGCAGTTCCAGTTACCCATCACACGTGGGCTACAGGCTACAAAAGGTATTTTAGTCTTCTGACTCAAGCGAGGATGTTTTTAAGCAGTTGTTGCACAAGGTCACCCATCTCCTGCGAGGGCCTGCTCCGTCCTGCCTCACCTCCGGGCGAGGGGAGAGCCACTGTCCTGCCGTGCGCCCGGAGTCCTCCTCGGGTGGGAACATGGTGCAGCCCGGCCGGCGAGGCTGGGAGTGGTGGGGCAGGGCCTCCTGCCCGCAGGCAGAGATGTCTGGGACTCACACCTCGCAGATGATCACCGGGAAATCCACGTGAATGCGAGGGTGCTCTAGTTTCACTATGCCCTGAAAGAAGAGTCAGAGTGGTGATCAGAAAAGGACTGGCAAATGACACGCCTGAGTCCTGCCAGTCACCCCAGGACAGAGGACGTTGTGCCCTCCAGGAACCGCAAGGACCAGGGTCCAAAAAGCAGCTGTGACACGTGATAGGGCCTGAAGAGCAGCAGGCAGAGCACAGGCACTCTGCCCTTCGAACTCATCCCTGGAGAGCCCAGGGCAGCATGGCTGGCTGCCACACATGGCAGGGCGAGCAAGGAGGGAGCTGCTCTGCCAGGCACTGCCCGTGCAGCAGCTGGTGCGTGACTGGCAGATATCGGCCGTCCGGGCTTTTCATCCGGCACCTTCCATTCACGGGATTTAAAGGAATGAAAAGAGCTCTCTGAGGGAACGCAGCCGGGGCAGCTGGCACACAAGAAAAGCAGCTTTCTGTGCAGAGGGGAGGGGAGGCTGCTGAATGAACGCTCCCTCCACACCAGCCACAGGCACCATTCCCACGGCCCGTCCAAGCCTTCTCCTGTTACAGCACCAGGAGGAGCCACTGGAAGGTGGGGGGCTGGGGGTTGAAGGCGGGGAAGGAGCTCAGGGCTGGACTTGCAACCACAGAGCCAGAGCAAAGCCTGGGCTAGCAAAGGGCTCTTCAGCGCTGGTACCTGCTCTCTTTGGCTCAGCAAGCTTTGCAACTGCACAAGTTTCTACCCAGATCAACTAGAAGTCAGTCCCACAGCCTGAGGCTGCCTCTGCAACAACGTCAGTCCAGGAAGCAGCACCAAATCCTTCCCTCCATAACTGCCTGTGCAGTGTTCAGAGGGGTCCCACCTTGTTGGGGGGCTGCCCGCCCCTAAGAGCACACCAACAACTCATCCCACAGCTTGCTAGAGCCATGCCTTTCTGCTTACTTAGGAAAGACTCCTACAGAATGTCTCTCTCTAGCCCTGGTTTGATCCACCTTTTTCTCTTTTTATGCCCCCGAAAGTTTCCCTGCACACAGGCTATCCTGCCCCTGAACCAAGACCCTCTATTGGTGTCCCAGCCCCTGCCCAGCGTCACACCAGTTGCTTATTTTAAGAGGAGGCTTTTGCACTGAGGTGCAAAACACAAAGCTGTCATCACTACTGAGCAGCTGGAGGGGATGTGCCCACTCAGTGGGTGATGGGCTTTGGCTGCTGCTCCCCAAGGCAGGGCCTGGCCCTCTGCACTGACATGACATAGGCTGAGCCAGCACAGCTCCCCACACCTCATGGAAGGTGCCTGGCAACTCGGGTTAGCATGGCCATGAAGGGCTGCCTGGCACACTGTGCCCCACAACACACACCAGGCTGAGCTATTCCCCCCAGCCTGGCAGCTCTAAAAGGCTCAGGCACCGCTTCTCTCCGAAAAGGGCAGCTGGAGGGTGCCACCAACCCTCCCTCTTCTGTCACAGCCTCACCAGGTGACATAGGTGTGTGCCAGGACACACGGGAGTCATGGCTCTGAGGTAGAAACTGGGGGGAGGAGAAAGCCTCCACCCTCCCAAGATGCCCCGAGGGAAAAGCTTCCTGCAAAGCCGGGACTTCAGCTGTCACCGTGGCGCTTTACCCTCGCTGCCCCCCACCTTCCCCCACACCCCACCTGAGGTATCAGGTTCTTGTGGATCCTCTTCAGCTTGGCGCGCTTCCTCCCGTTCTTGGTGACGATTGTCTCCTCGTAGAACTCGTGAGCAAGGTCCCCGTCCTCATCGTAGTACATGGAGCTGCCGGGAGGAGAGGGGAGGGAGGCGGGTGGTTGAGAGCCGGGCCGGGGGCTGGGCAGGCCGGGCCTCCCCAGCCCTGGGGGGTTGTACCGACCACCCGCTGCGGTCCCGGCCCAGCAGCAGAGCCCCCCGCCCCCCTCTCCCCGCTCTCACCCGCGCCGTGTGAACACGAAGGGGGTGGCGGCGCGCGCGGCCCGCGCCCGGGCCAGGGCCTGCTGCCCGCCGGGGCCCTCGGGGCCGCCGCCGCCCGCCGCCGGCGAGGCGAAGGGCCACAGCCCCCGCGACTTGGAGCCGCTGGCGCCCATGGCGGGGGCGGCGGCGGCAGCGGCGGGAGCGGGGCCGGGGGGGAAGGGACGGGGCCGGCCCGGAGCCGCCCGGCGACACCGACCGAGCGCCGCCCGCGCCGCCGCTGCGCCACTTCCGCCGCCCGCCACACGTGACGGCGGCGCGGGCGCGCCCTCCTCCCCGCCCCGGTGCTCACGGGTTCGAGTCCCGCCGCTGCCGCTGTGCTCCCGGACCACGTGCGGGGACCCACGGCCCGCTGGCAGCGCGGGGCGCTCCGCGTCCCCTCCCTTCCCGCCCAGCCAAAGACACACCGCAGGCCAGGCCTCGTCACCAAGATGTCTTTATTGGTGCTCGATGCCCTGCTTCCCCACAGGGACAATCACTCATCCAGGGACATTCGTTCCCCAAAGACACCCAACTCCCCTGAGGATACCCATTCCCCGGGGGGCACTTGCTCCCTCCAGAACACCCACTCCTTTGGGGACACACACTCCCCGCGGGACACTTATTCCCTCCAGAACACCCACTCCTCTGGGGACACACACTCCCAGGTGACACTCGCTCCCTTCAGGACACCCACTCCCCTGGGGACATTCAAATCCCCAGGGGATACTCACTCCCCTCAGGACACCCACTCCTCTGGGGACACACACTCCTGGGTGACGCTCCCCTCTGAACACCCACTCCCCTGGGGACATCCAATCCCCCAGGTGACACTCGCTCCCTCAGGACACTCGTTCCCCTGGTTTCACCCACTCCCGGGTGACACTCGCTCCTTCCAGGCACTCCCACTCTCTGGGCCGGCCCCATAGGGGCTGTGACAGCCCGCCGGGTCCGCGGTGCCCCGTTCCACCCCCCTCCCCGGTGCCCCCACCCGCCGGCGGACGAGAGTCCCGGTGCACTGGCTGGCCTCGGTCGCGGGTGTCGCGGTCACCCCGGCGTGCGCGTGGCCAGCGCCTCCTGCATCTTCTGGCGGCAGCGGGCGTAGCGGTGCCGCAGCCGCCGCACGTGCTCCTCCTCCTCCCGCTGCAGGATGCGCAGGAAGTTGTGCAGCTCCGGCAGCGTGAAGGCGTCCCACTGCGGGCACAAGGGCTCCCATCGCGACGGGGACCTGCCGCGTTCCCCCCGCGGCCGCCCCCCCCCAGGGGTGCGGGTGCCAGCCCCCCTCCCCGTCCCCCCGCACTCACGTTCACCTCTCCGGTCTCGTTCTCCTTCAGGACGAAGCTCAGCACTTTCTCACTGGGGCCAGCCAGCAGCCGCAGCCGCAGGGGCTGCTCGTCGTCACCCAGCTTCCGCAGGTACACTGAAAGGGTGGCCACGGGTCACAGCGGGGACAACGCCAGGGGTACAGTGCCACCATGGGGACATAACCCTCTCAGGGACAACACTACCACTGGGAACACCACTTCCACGGCAGACTCTGCTGCCAGGGGGGACACACCCATGGTGACAAGGGACACTGCCACCTAAGGGGGGGATACCATTGCTGCAGGGATGCTGCCACCATGAGGATGCTGCCACCACAGGGATACCAACACCACAGAGTAAACTACTGACATAGGGGACTCTGCTGCCATGGGGGGGACAAGCGGGGATACCACTGCTACAGGGATGCTGCCAGCAGAGATGCTGCTACCCAGGCAAAGCTGCCACTATGGGGACACCACTGTCAGGGACGACACTGCTGCCATGATACTGCCACCATGGAGAATACCACCACCACTATGGGAACACCACTGCCTTGGGGATGCTGCCACCACGAGAGACACCATCATTCTGGGGACACTGTCACCACAGGGGAAACTGCCACTATGGGGACGCAGCCACCGCTGTGGGGACAGAGCCACCTTGCTTGTCAAGGGCACTACCTTGCTCATCCTTCTCAGACCTCTCGAAGAGAGCGAACTTGCGGGGATTGTCGACGACGGTGAACTTGCGGAGGAGGGCGTCGATGACCTCGCTGGCGCGGGTGTGCGACAGGATGTGCAGGTGCTTCACGGTGCCCTTGGGCAGGTAGAAGGACGTGCGGCGCTTCACGCCCTGGGTGTGCGGCCGCCCCGCCTGCAGGGCGGGACCCTTCTTGGTGGCCGGCACCGAGACAGGGCGCACCAGCTTCAGCTGCACCTTGATGAAGCCGGTGTAGGAGCCGTCCTTGTTCTGCGAGACACCAGTGGGGGGGTGAGTGGGAACAGAGCAAGGCACCACGCCTTCCCCGCCCGGCCCCGCGCTGGCCCCATACCAGGCTCATGAAGAGGTTGCTGTTGATCTGGCTGTTGTACTCCTTGATCCGCTGCTCCACCTGCGTCTGGTCCAGCTCTGTCTTCTCCCACTCGCTGGGCTCATCCTGTGTGACAGCAGCGGGGCTGAGCAGCACTGCCGGCGGGGGTGAGCTCCCCGCCTACCCCGGTTATCCCGCCGGCCCCCGGCCCATCCCGCAGCACCGACTGAAACACGCGCGGGCGGTTGCGCGGGGTTGCATCAGCCCGCCTGGCGCTGAGCTGGGCTGTGCCGGGGAAGCACAGCTGAGCTCACCGCGGCCCCAGCCCTGCTCTGGGGACACCGGCACCGGCCGTCCCCCCAGCCCTCTTCCCTGGGACTGCAGAGGTGGGTGAACTCGGCTGCGGGTACACCCGGGGCTGAGTGTCCCTTCCCGGCACCCCAGATCAGAGAGGCGTCCCCAAGGCAGAGCGCTGGCAGCCGCCAGCCCGGCACCAGGGCGTCTGGGCAGGCTGGGAGCCCGCGGGGACGCCCTGGGATTCGAGGCAGGAGGGCCGGGCCGGGGGTGCAGCCCGCCCATGCCGCCGGCACCCCACTTCAAAGTGCTGGCCCCACACAAGGGGGACTCAGGCGTCCCGCCTCGGCGTCCCTGCCACCCGCACCCACTAATGAGTGTTTACGTGGGGCTGCGGAGCTGCCACACAGTGTTGCACGAGTCCCCACGGCACTAAGGGGCTCCCAGCCCTGACAGCCACCCTACAGCATGCAGGCACTGCCGGACCCTGCGGGAGTCCCTGCAGGATGCGGACAGCTGTGAGGCTACCTGGGGGGCTCACCCTGGCACCCCCAAATGCTTTCCTTTGCCCTCTCTAGGAGCAACTCCAGGCTGGAGGACTTTGGGGTGGCTGTGCCAGACAGCAAAACCCCACTGACCCCACGGTGTCTCGCTCACCCCACATCCACCTGGACAGGGCCACCGTGTCCCATGGCATGGCCACACTCGTGGCCACTCTTGCTCACCCTCCAGCAGGGTGATGCTCACGCCCGTGCACACCCCATAGCAGACCCACACTCACTTCCCAGACAGGACTACCCACATCCCGTGTGTTCTCCACGCACCAAGCCCACTCTCGCCTGCTCCCCAGCACCCAGCCCCGAGGCCTCGATGATGTCACCCGTGTCCCCCCATGACGTCACGACCCCGGACCGACCTGGCGGCGGCGCGGGCGGCGACCGAGGGAGGTGCGGGCGGTGTAGAAGAGCTCGGGCTCGGAGTCGGAGTCCTCCTGGCTGCAGTAGCCGCTGCTGGCCGTGCTGCCCCCCGTGCCCCCCGCGCCGCCCCGCCGCAGGGCCAACGCCGCCGCCCCGCAGCCCCCGGCCCCGCTGCCCCCCGCCCCGGTCCCGGGCACGGCCCCGGTCCCGGCGGCGCTGGCGGAGGGCACGGCTCGGGCCGGCCGGCCCGCGGCCCCGCCAGGCCGGCGGGCACACGGGCACACCCGGCCCCGCGCCAGCCCGGCCGGCCCCCGGGCTGGGGCCCGGCTCGGTCCGCTCCCGGCTCGGCTCAGCCCGCTCCCGCTCCTGGGCCCGGCTCCGCTCAGCCCGGCCCTTGGCTCGGCTCGGCTCGGTCCGCTCCCGGTCCCTATCGCGGCTCGGCTCCGCCCGCTCCCGGGTCTCGGTCCCGGCTCAACTCCGCCCGACCCCAGTCTCAGTCCCGGCTCGGCTCAGCTCGGTCTCTATCGTTCTCCTGTCCCGGCTCAGTTCCGCCCGGTCCCTATCGCGGTCCCGGCTCGGCTCAGCCCGGTCCCTATCGCGGTCCCGGCTCGGCTCAGCGCGCCGTCCCTCGCGTTCTGCCCCGCTCCTGGCTCAGCGCGGTCCCAGGCGTGCCCCGCCCCGGCCCTGGGGCTGACGCGGGCCGGGGGCGGTGCGGCGGCCCCGCTTCCGGCGGTGACTTCACCCGCGCCCGCCCGGACACGGCTGTGCCCCGGCTCGGATGGGCTCGGTGCGGAGCGGGCAGCGCGGCACGGGCACGGCGCGGGCACAGCACACCCGGCATGGCACAGCTCAGCTCGGCACGGCTTCACACAGCCCAGCACAGCCGTGAAAGCCTTGGCACAGCCCGGCATGACACAGACTCACACAGCCCAGCAAAGCCCAGCTCAATCCAGCAAGGCTTGTCACAGCCTGGCATGGCACAGCCCAGCATGGCACACCAAAATCCAGCAAGGCTCAGCACAGCTGTGCCACGGCCTCACATGGCACAGCCTGGCATAGCCCCCCTACAACCCTGGGCAGCCTCCAAGGTTGGCCACCCCCTGCCCACCCTCTCCCTCAGAGACAGGCCCAGGCCTTACCACATTGGTGTCCTTCTCCAGCTCGTTGCCATCGTCCTCATCGCTGGTGCCTGGGGGGCCACTGCAGTCCAGCCGCACGAGGGCCCGGCACCGGTAGTGGCAGGTGAAGCTGCAATCTGGCAACAGGGATAGGACCAGTGTCACCACTACGGGTAGCCTGGGTGTCAGGGTCAGGGCACTGGTGCATGGTGGGACAAGGGCTGGCACACAGTGCCAGTAGTGGTACCAGCTGCCTGCCCCTGCAGTGCCCAGGGACCCAGAGGTAGCACCCATGTGGGACACGGTGCTGTGCCATGTGCTGGCTGGTCCTGTGGTGCCTGTGCTCCCTGCTGAGCTGGCCAGTGTAGGATGCTTAGTGCCTGGTACCAGGATGCCCAGTACTAGGATGCCCAGTATGGGTACCAGTGTGGTGTGCTCAGTACTGGGATGCCCAGTGGCCAGTGAGGATGCCCAGTGCTGGAATACCAGGTGCCCAGTACAGGGATGTGGGGTGCCTGGTGAGGGCATTCTGAATGGGGTTGCCCAGTGCCTGGTGCAGGTGCCCAGTATTGTGATGCCCAACTCAGTGGAAGTGCCTGGCATCAGGATGCCTGGTGGGAGTAATTGGTATCGAGGTGCCTGTGCAGGTGCCCAGTGCTGGGATGTTCAGTGCCCGATGTGGGTGCTTGGTGCCAGGATATCTGTGCCTAGTGATGGGGCACCTGGTGTTCACCTGGTGCCCACTACCAGGATGCTCAGTGCCTCCTGAGGATGTCCAGTGACTGGTGGGGTACCCTATGGCAGGATGCCTTGTGGCCACTGGGAGTGCCTGGTGGTGAGGTTGCCTGGTGGTGGGATTCCCAGTGCCAGGAAATCTGTGGCCAGTGGTGGGACACGAGGTGCTCGAGGGGGGTGCCGACTACCAGGATGCCCAGTGCCCTGTAGGGGGGCCTGATGGTGGGATGCCCGGTGAAAGAGGTCCCCGGTGCTGAGGGTGCCCAGAGGCGGGCTATCCGGTGCTCGGTGGGGTCCTCCAGTGCCGAGGAAGCAGAGTGATGGGATGCCCGGTGCCTGGCAGGGATGCCAGATGCCAGGATGCCCGATGGCGGGGGTGCCAGGTGCCGGGATGCCCGGTGCTCGGGGGCAGGATGCCGGCTGGCAGGGGTGCGGGGGGGCCCGGGGAGCGGCGCGGTACTCACAGCGGCACTGGAGGCTCTTCCTGCCGCCGCCCCAGATGAAGTCCCCGCAGAGATCGCACCAGGTGTGCAGCCCGCGGCGCCGCGGCTCGAAGCGGTGCCCGCCGCCCGGGACGGCCGTCAGCCGCGGGTCGGGATGCGCTCCGGGGCCGGGCCGGCGGGCCGGGCTGATGCGCAGCGCGTTGGTCCGTTCTAGGCGGCCCCGGCCCGGCCGCGGCTCCGGCTGCAGCTCCCGCAGCTCGATGAGTTCCATGCTCCGGCGGCCGCGGGCGCTGAGCGGTGGCGGGGCGGGGGCCGCCACCGGGGTCGGGGCCGGGGCGGGGACCGGGAGGAGCCGCCCTGTCCGGGTAGCGCGAGGGAAACTGAGGCAGGAGAAGGGGAGATGGTGAAGTGCCCGGGGTCCCGCTGGCCAACACCGGTCCCGGCGAGGCCGGCGGGGCGGGCTGGAGGCGGGGATGAGGCTCCCGGAGCCGCCGCCGAGGAAGGCGGGGGCCCGCTCCAGCAGCCCCGCTCTCTCCACCACCTCTCCCAGGACCGAGACAAGCTGCACTTTCTACCTCAGTTCCCAGCGGGGAAGGGGCTCAAGGCACCTCTGGCGGAGAGTGAGAAGCAGCAAGAGAGCCTTGGACACGCTCGAGCTGGCTGCAGCCCTGGACGTGCAGCCTGGGTTTGGTGTGAGTTTACTCCATGCTCCGAGCTTGGGCTGCTCAGTCGGGGCTGCAGCTGGACCGAGGCAGTTTCCTGCCTGCTGTCGTGGGTCCTGCAGCAGCAGTGCTGCTGCAAAGCCTATTTTGGGGTGTCAGGGAGTCTCAGGTACTCCATTACAAAAGGACATGGCCTCACCAACCTTTTCCAGCTGTGCTCAGACCAAGGCTGCAGCCCTTTGGCAACGAGAGGTGAGGATGCACCCCAGGTACAGACTCACCAGTAAACCCTGGTTATTGGTGATGCTGGTGGGCAGGGGGCCAAGCCCTCAGTGCTAACACCACATCAACAGAGAGGAAAGGGGGGGAATCGTCCCTGCGAGGTGGCAGATGAGGAACACCCGAGAAACTCACAATAAGGTGCCTGAGCAAACCACATCCTCTGCTCCCCACACTGCTCTAACGACAGTAAGAGGCGGTGGGAGGCCTTCTTGCCCCTTTCCCTCCCCAGATGCAGAGGGCTTGGTCCTTCTAGTAACCACATCCTTACAGGCTTTTTCAGGTTCTCTGGGATTTCTGTTGCTGCAGAGGGGAAAATGGACACATATGCCTCTCCCTGGGTGCAAGGGAGGCGAGGACACAGTTTAGCATCTTCAGCTAGGAGAAGAAAAAGCAGGAGCCAAGCAACTGAGGGTTGCACAAGGGGGTTTATTGGAGAAGGCAGCATGGTGGGGTAGTGGGAAAGGAGAGGCCAAGTCCAGCCAGTGCTGCCTGGGGCTGGGAGCAGGCAGAAGGGGCCTTTGCCAGCTTCTCTCCAGCTCCTGGGCTGCACACTGGGGAACCTCAGCCTTGCTGAGCTGTGGGCCAGATGCCAGACACCCCTTCTCTTACAGGTCATCCACAACACTCCTTGGCACCTCAGCCATCAGGTTGCAGGCAGGCTTGTGCTTCTGCCAGTGCTGGACCTGGCAGGCCCTGCGGAGGGTAAAGCTGCTGTCAGGGGCAGTGGAACCATGTGCTGGGAGTGAAGGAGTAACAAGGACAAACCTCAGCACCACAGTCCCCTGGGCACTGGAGGGGAGCTGGCATGGCCCAGCATTAGCCCGAGGGAGATGGATGTGGCCCCCAGTTCCAGGCGCTAAGGCGCTTTAGCGCCAGACCTTGCCAGATGGTTCAGGACCAGAGAAGATTTAACTTGCTGCCACCATCCCAGCTGCCACATCCCAGCCTGTCACTTGCACCCACGGGGTCATGGGTGCTTTCCTCCCCACCCCTGCCACACCAAGATGCAGGGGAAAAAGACAGTGACACCACGGAAAACCCAACCCGTCACTGCTGCCACTGTGGGCAGAGGCAGCTCAGCACCTCGCAGCTGCAACACAACACTCACCAGCACCTCCTGCACCAGCAGGCCAGCACATCAGCCTCCCACAAGATTTGGAGAGGTATGTGGCCAGAGGAGAGCCAGAGGTGCTGAGCAGGGGTGGGACCCCTGGCTTGCCCTGGCCCTTCCTCAGTATCCTCTGGTGAGGTCTCTGGGGAGCACTGAAGGGCTGCGGGGGGGGCTCAGGGGACTGAGAGGACACGGGGGGTGGCAGGGCTCCCTTACCGTGTGCAGTACCACTCATTCCGGCAGCGAGAGCACCTCTTGGCTGCTTCTACACCACACACCCTGCAGCGGGGCTTGTCGGGGGCCAGAGCCTCCATCATGTCCAGGCTGTAGGTCTGTGCCCACCTGTGCAAGCAGAGAGGGGTGAGGCTGCTCACGGGGAACTGCTGACCTGCAGCAAGCTGTCCCCACTGCACCCTGCCACCACAGACCCCTCTTTCCTCCCAGTGCTGAGCTCCAGCCCCTGCTAATGGGGATACTGGCCCCACTGGCACCCCACGTGTACATACCAGGGCCTCACCTTCGTGCCTGCAGCTTCAGCTCCTCCTCAGTGGGGCTGAAGGCGTGCTTCACCTGGTGCTTGGCAATGGCCTCCCACTTCCCCGAGTTTTTCTTGAGGATGTGGTCCCAGATGACAGGAACCTGACGGGAGAGGCAGGGCGGGAGGAAGGGGTGCTAGCAGTCTGACCAAAGGTGCTGTGGTTCAGGGATGTTTAGGGGGGAAGCAGCCAGCTCTGGGCACAAGGAGCATGGATCCCTCGTGAGGGTGAGCAGAGGCAATGTCTGCTTTTGGGTACAGGGAGGGGAAGGATCCACTCGCCAACAAGCGTTCAGGTGAAACAAGGAAAAACCTCTGGGGTCTGACTGGGAATGAGTATTCAGCCCTGAGGCCTGGGCTCCTGAAGAGAAAGCCCTGGGATCTCAGCACCCTGCATGCTGGCAGCAGCATGAACCCCGTGCTCCGGAGCCGTTTGCCTGAGCAGATTTTTCCACTCGTCACTTCCCTGAAGATGAACACTTGGGGAAGGACTGGCCAGTTCAAAAGGAAACACGCCAGCTAAGAGCAGCGTGGGGAGTTCAGCCTCTGGAGAGAACGATGCTGCTTCAAACAGCACTGCCTTCTCCAGCAGAGTAAAAATAGCCAGGCCTGGAAGGGGAGGAGGCTGCTCTGGGAGCAGCCAAATGGAAAAAGGCCTTTCCTTAGCTTGGCTCAGAGACAAGGAGTGAGTTCACTACTTTCTGAGCAGAGCAGGGAGTCCATGTCTGTGCTTCCAGCTGGCTCCTCCTGCCTGCCCCCTGGGCTCAGCCCCGGTCCTTGGCACAAGCAGGAGCAGCACCAGCACAAAAGCTGAGCTACAGGGAAGGGCAGCAGCCTGGACTGGGTCCCCAGCGTGGCAGCTGCCTGTCGCTGTGCCACTGACACGCTGGCAGTCGAGGCACTTGGCCTGGATCCCTGTCCACCTCCACCCTGCTGCCATCCCCAGCCCCAGCCGTTCAGCTTGCTGGTCTGCAGCTTCCCCAGGCCCAGCTCCTGGCCTGGGCCGTGCCTATGGATCAGCCACATCCAGCGCTGACATAGCATGTCACCCTCCTCCCGGGCCATGGGCCAGGTATGTGGGGACAGTGTCCTTCCCCTCCACACAGCCCAAAAGGCCACTGCCCAACCTACTCATCTGCTCCAGGAAGTGGCGTGGGAGCTTCCAGCAGTGGGGAAGAGCCTCTGCTCTCCCAGCTCTTCTCAGTAGCCTCTTTGCAGATCTGCCCCCACACTCAGTTTCTCCCCTCAGCTCACGAGAAGGCAGTAGAAAGACTTTTCTCCAGAGACTACCATTGCACAGATTAAAAACCCAAGAACCTCATGGCTGTTTGATGACCATCAGGTCCCAATTCCCAAGGTCCAGACACCAGCTGGGACCAGTTTGACTCCAGCCTTTATCAGCAGACTGTGTTGCCCCTCAATACACAGCGCGCCAAGCAGCTCTGACCCAGGGAAGTCCAGAATTCAGCAGGAAAACACTGATAAAAGTTAAATGAAGAGTTAATTGTCAAAACAAGCCAGGGGCTGCGTCTGCTCCATGCAGCCACCATCCCAGGGACTCTGTGTGACCTGGAGAGCTGTTTATACCACAGCATTTATGTCTTTAGATGTGACTGCATGGCCACTGCAGTGGCAGGACGAGGCTCTCACGTCACCCACAGGCAGCTTTGCTGGCAGTAAGGGTGTAACTATGAAATGGGTGCTTGGCTGTTTTTCCAGGGCACCTCTCCAGAGTTTAGTGGGAGAAGAAAGAGGTAGAGAGTTATCAGGCTTAAAGCAGAGCAGCTGGAGAGGTGACGGAAGAGTCACAGGATACCTGCTCCAGGACGAGATCCTTTTTTGGGGGAGCTGGCTCTGTCACTGCCAGGTGGCTCAGAAATCTCTGCATCTCCATCAGGTTGGGCAGCTGGTCAATGAGGACATCTGTCAGGAACACACGGAGCTGCAGCCATGAAGGAGAGAGAAGAGAGAATGGAGAGAGGTCAAGACAAGGGAGTCAGAGCTGGGGAAGCAGCAGGACAAGAGCAGTGATTTGTGGAGCACTGGCAGAGTGAACCATGGGAGTCTCACGAGGTGCATCCAGGAAGGCAAGCTTTGCTTGCTGCTGGTACAGTGACAGATCTGCTGTTATTCACCACTGGCTCCTTGGAGTGCACAGTGAGGATGGGTGAGAGTCCAGAGGTGCCCAGTGCTGGCAAGGCCCTACTCTGCTGCAGGGCCCTTGGCCTTTGTGCTGCAGGGTCCTACCTTGAGGAGCTGGCTCTTGTTAAAGCCATCAAAGCGGTATTTGCGCTGACACTCAGGGCTGAGCAGGAGGTTGAGCAGGGCAAGCCACACCTGCCCGTCGAGTTTGGTCATCTTCACCTGGTCTTCAGGGGGCACCACATGCCACGTGCCATTCTCAAACTTCTTGAGCTTGCCTGAGGGACAGAAGAAGCAGGGAGACACAGTGCTGCCTGAGGCAAGACAGCTCAGAGGGAGCTGGGGAGGCTGGCCTGTGGTCACTGCCTCACTTCACTGCAGGGAAGTCCCTCTGCTTCTGCCTGCCTCAGTTTCCCCACCCTTTGCTCAGCATAGCAGCCTACTTGGTACTGAGGTAATATATCAGAGAGTAGGAAAAGCAGAAGGAATATGTATTAAAACAATAGGGCTGTGGCAGAAGTGGAAAGATCCCTGAGACA